TCTTATTAATCAAGTGCTCGGATTAGACCATAGACCCTAGAAGCCTTAGACCGGAAGACACCTTCACAGCTTTTGATCGCAAGTTTCCTAAGGCAGGCGGCATGAAGCCTAAACAGTAAGTTGATCAACCCCCTCTTGCAGTACTGAAGTGTACAGCCTCTCTAAACCCCATATTTTCACTACATCACGGACCTCTCGACACAGTCGCGATTGTTCCATGGAGCCTGGAATTAAAGGATTCGGATTAAGTACGAACCCGGAGCACACCTCGGCTCCGCCAGGCACAGACGCTGAAGGTGCTGCTGAGTGAGTGTGCCAGCGCAGCACGGTGCCCAGGATCCCCAAACCTACAAACGGAAACTGTCTTACTGACTACAAGGTTCTTGTGAAGGAGGTTCCCTGATAGAATTCTGCTTTTCTAGTAATGAAAGACGACGCCCGATCCGTGTTTTTCGCATAAGATTTGGCATGCATCTTAGACGGTGGACGCGAACTCGCCCGCAGAGTACGGGAATGGGCAGCCAGAATTAACGCGAAATCCCAGGCGCCGTGTACCCTGAAGCCGAAGGACGATAAGCCCTAGGCCCTGAGCCTAAATCCCAAGCAGAAACTCAAAATCAGAAAACCTAAACAGGTGATGTGCTAGGGGGCAGAGATCCAGCACTGGCCACTGCTCTCGAGTTAGGGCAGATAACAAACAATTGGCCGATGATCGGCATGCAAAGGGGCAGCATCACCGTGAGGGAGTGGTAAGCTATCTTGTTGCCAAACGTCAACAAGTCCTCCTGACCTGATGGCCTTCCGGTAGCCTGGTGGAGCATTGGGAAAAGGAGTTCAAGAGATGTGCTATGGAATTCCCACATGCTGAGCTGAGAGTGAGAGCTTTGGGCTCTCAGTTAACAGGGGGTTAAGGTTTGGTGATTTATGCAAGGGTTTATGGAAGGGGTTGTGGAAGGGTTGAAAGCACAGTGTGTAACGGGGGGTTTTCGGGTTTCTAGAAGCGTCTAAGGAGCTGAATGGAACGGAATGGAATGGGATGGGATGGGATGGGATGGACGGACGGACGGACGGATGGATGGATGGATGGATGGATGAAGACATGAATGATGATGAACGAACGGATGCAAGGATGCGTGGATGAACGCATCGATGCAAGAGTGGATGGATGAACAGATGGATGAACGGTGGGATGGATGGATGAACGGATGGATGGGATGGTGCTACCTGGCTGCTTTTAACGCTTTAGAGATAGTCACTAGTCGCAAGCGGAAGAACATGCACTTTGCATGTGCGCAGCTGACTCTAGTGCATTTCGAGCTCACTAGCTCTGTACCTTTGCTCGTCGCTGTCTGTGGTTCTTTGACGCCCGAGTTTTGGGGCATCGGGGTAGGCAGGATTCGTCAGCAAACATCCGCAGACACCCCAACAGCAAGACGGACATCTTAAGCCGTCGTCGTCTACCTCCGTTGTTAGCTCTGCATGCCTGCTGCAGTTCTCCCGAACATGCTGCACATCTGGACGGTTTCAGGAGAGGAAATTGTTACTTCCGCTGATATTGCGGGCGATGTGAGGTCCTTAAAGCAACAGCTCCATAAGCGGTTCAACGTTTCCCGATTCAGGCAACGACTGGTGCACGAAGGTCGCAGCCTGGATGATGATTCCTGTGCGAGGGATTTGCCAACCGACCTGCAGCTGGTGTTTTTACCATATGCAAGCGTTTCTGAGGAGCAGGAGGAAGAGCTCATCCTAGCGGCGAGTGTTGGCCATGTGGCCTCTGTGGAGGAGATTCTCACACGACCTCAAAATCCAAATAGGCGCGGCGTCTTTCGACCCATGCTTGCCGAACCTGGGAACAACACAGCTCTTGGGAAAGCCTCCGACAGGGGCCACACGGAGGTCGTGCGTATACTGTTGGAGGCCGGTGCAGACAAAGATGGCCATGCTCTCGGTGGAGGCTACCAGGGTCCTGCTCTCGTGCTGGCAGCTGCCAGGGGGCATCTTGAAATTGTACGGCTCTTATTGGAGGCCGGTGCATCCATAGAGGCGCTCGGATACTTCTACGGATCCGAGGTGACGCCACTTCTTGCGACAATCGACGGACACGATCACGTCGCGAGACATGAGTCAGCCCAGGGCCAGGGCCCGAATAAGAAGAGCACAGAGGTTGCACGGCTTTTACTGGAGGCGCGTGCAGATCCAAACTCTCACCGGCCGGAGTCGATTCTTTGCTTAGAGCACGACGCAAGGCCTTTGGTCGCGGCATGCCAAGGCGGACATCTCAAAACCGCGCGTTTGCTGTTGCTCGGCAGTGATGACGAGAAGATGCCAGATCGGAAGAGCTCTCCGTCAGCGGACATGCACATTGCTCCAGCACTTGTTGCAGCAGCGTCGAACGGCCACTTGGAAGTTGCAAGAATGCTCGTGGCGACCGCACCGCATTCACTTCGTGGCTGTCGTCATGCAATGCCTCGAGACAGCATACGTTTGCATGTTCTGACGCCTCTCTTGTTGGCTGCCATGTGGGGTCATGTAGGAATCGCAGGCTTGCTTTTAGGTGCCCGTGCTAGTGCAGACAAAATCTGCGGGCCAGATGATGCAACGGCTCTCAGCATCGCTGCCGGCGAAGGGCATGAGGAGATAGTGCGATTGCTGCTGGAAGCTGACAAGCATCCTACCTTCACTCTCGACTTGTGTTGCAAGTGTTCCCGCAGCAATCATGATGCTTAGCAATGATGCGACCGGTTCCAGCTACATTGCCACTGAGGGGTGCTGCTTTGAAACGCGAGCAGTGTTCAGGATCAGGCTGTGCTTTACATGCTGTTTCCATATTCGGAAATAGCGGTTGGCAGCATATCTGAAGAGTGCAACACATTCGCGTAAGAAACGTACGCTGCACCCCGTCTGCCTGCAAGGTACTAGTAAGTCCTCAGATATGCTTTTACCACTTCGAACGATTTCGGGCCAGCGTCTGTTTGCGGGCGGGCAGTGCAACCTTGCTCATTCAACTCAGGTAACTTCGAAGTACGGTAGAGGATTAGCAGGATCTATAGAGTCTATGGCCGTATGGCCCCCGCACACTCCCACAGCAATGCAAAACCGCAGACTCTGAGCCCTGCGCCCCCCAAACTGAAAGGTCGCTGAGGCTCTGGGCCCATTGAGGGGTGTAAGTGTAGGGCTCGGTGTGCAGAGGGCAACGTGTTTCATCCTGGGAGCCTGCAGCGCTTTTGGACGCGTTGGACCGAATCAGACCCAGGGGCTTTGAGTGGCTTGGTAGTGTGCTCAGCCTCGACAGACGCCTCGCCCAAGGGTTTAGGGCAATGCCGAAAGCCGGCATCCAAACTTAGTTTAGTCCCTGAACTTCGAGCCTGACGTCCTGAACCCTCGCACTTCAACCTTAAAAGCCTCCACACCTAAGCACCACACGGGCTCTGACACCGGCAATGTGCCAAAAATCAGACATGAGATGATCGATGGCTGTCGCGTTCGTCAGCTCAGCGCGGCAGCTTTTCGGCTTGAAATGTGTAAAGTTTGACTTTATGCGGAGGTCAATGCCAAAAGTTAGGCAAAGTAGGGTCTTGCGACTTACGCGGCCTAGGGAATTTAGGCTGCAGTCTGCCATCGTTCTGCACTTCGGTCGTAGTAGCTTCTGACCTGTATTGCATTCAGGCTTTAGCATCTATGAAAGGGTCAGGGACGACTGCCTCTAAGTTCCGGAGTTACGAATGAAGGGTGGCTTTGCGCTGAGCGTTCAAGGAATGTATTGGAAGTATTGGCCTATATACGTTTGATAATGCCATGCCCCGAAGCCTGCAAAGGAGACGTCGGCAAAGATGGCCGGACCGCTATGCTGCTTCGATACGGGGCCAGGATCCTTGACTCTTGGGAAGTTTAGGGTTCTGGGCGACTCTGAAGCATACACAAAGTTTACACCCATGAACCCCCGCCACACGGCAAGGTTTGAGATTTTGGTTTTCGGCACACTTCACACTCTGAACCCAGACTCCTACATGTGCTTGTTTGAGTGTGGGGTCCGTTGTGGGCTTTGACTTTCGGGTTAAGGATGTCATGGTCTCGGCGCCAGGCCGTGTTTGGGTGCTCGGGAACTGTACGCAGGAGGTCGGCTTGGGGTTCAATGTTCAGGGGACCGGCTTTTCTGTTGGAACTCTGATTGTTCGGTCCCGAGGCTTTTTCGCGAAGGATGGAGAGAGTCTAGGTGTAGCGAGTCGAACCCGTCTGCTCCAAGCTGAGCTATTGGTTGCCAATATGCCGGGCTGCTGGGATCTGTGGCATTGTTTCCCAGGAAGACTTGTGCGCGCGCTGCCCAGTCGTGATGCAAATGCTGGACGAGGACAGATGGTGTAGCATGAGTTCTTCTAGCTATGTAAACCAGGCTCACTATTTCTGCCCAAAGATGATGGCACCGCTGTCACTATCATCATCATCAGCAGCAGCATCAGCGTATAGGTATCATATAATAGACATGCATGGTTGAGAGTTCGGCAGGCGGCCCGGTCGCTGTCGGACCTGGATTCAGCACTCGTTCGACTCTTTGCCAAAGTTTGAAATGTACCGGAGTTGTTGAGGCTCAGGATCTGGGATTGGGAGTGTTTTTGGAGACGTCTCAGCCAAATATAGGTGTTTGCCTGCGTGTTATAGGGCTGGATGTTTAGATATAAGCTGTAAGAGCCGGACAAGAGGAGTTTGTCCAATCAGAGTCTGGCATTAGTCATTACATGTGTGTGCGTTCTAAGGTACTTTCTGTTTCGATTTGTACTCCATGGGTTGTCGTCCTAGGTCCCTAGCATTGAGCGTAGTTGCTCCAAGCATTCAAAGGTCCTGTCGCTTTTCTCTGACCTCAGGATCGAGTTTAATCTTGGGTAGGGGTACTTCAGGAGAGGCGTGCGTGGTATCCTGCACTTGCAGGGATGACGTGGGAACCACTCGCCAAAGCTAGCACGGAGTCAAAAGGCAGACCCCTTCCAGACCTGTGTCCTGTTTCAAGCGGAAGGCAACTTCAAGTTCCATACGTCTTCAGGGGATGCTATGTATCTATGAATCTATGATGATGATATTGGCTGCGCTTGCCTATACACGGGGTGACGTACTATTTCCCAGCAACCAGGCACCGGTCCATTCGATTGTTGCATCCTTCACCTTAGAAAGCGCAAAGCTCCGAACCTTAAGACCCTACACGCCGCACCCTCAAATGCCATCTGTGGATTCAGGCTACTAGGCACTTGGACCCCAGTGTCACGGATTTGACGCGTCCGCTCCAGCCAATCCAAAATCGATAATTCCGAGGCATGAAACAGAGCCCGAAGCCCTCAGCTCCAAAACAATCAATCAGCGACAGCCATCATTGCTCCACGGCTCAACAGACTTTGTAAGTACTACTTTATAGGTAACTCTGCACCGCATGTGATAGTTCCACGCTTGTATGCTAGTTACTAAACCCCGATCCTCTCTACGTGCTACGTACGCACACTCGCGAGGCAGGGCTCCTCCCTACAGCTTTCTCGCGCTGCGACGGGGGAGGTGGAAAAGGTGGGGCCCCCCGCTCGAAATAGAAAAGTTCAGTGTAACAATCAGTGCTTGCACGGGGCCCTGAGCCCTGCGAGTGGAGGCCCCAAGACCCGGCGGGTGGTGCAGGACTTGAAAGACTGTGACGGCCAAGCTGTGTTTGGCTGTTGAGGTTGAAATTACTGAGGGTGTGTAGCAGGCGAAGGGCTCTTACCAAAGTTCGGGTCACGAAGACTGCGCCTACAGCAGGATGTGTTCCAAAGCCGTCACCCCCCAAAAGCTGCAGAGTCTCCCTAAACCTAAACTCCTAAATCCCGTGCAGAAACCTTGAAAGGAACCAGAACCCTCAACCTCGAAGCACATGCTCTCGACCCAAGCTCCTTTGAAGGCTCAGGGTTCCGGGTTTCAGGAGCTTCGGGTCCGAAGACCTGGAAGATTTCGGTTCAGGAGGAGCAGCGCCCTATCGCCTCGAGTAGATTCGGAAAGTCCAGACCATACCCCAAAATCGCATAGTGCCACACCATAAACGCCCCTGCATTTTTTCGAGGCAGCCCCAGCCCGGGCCAGGGAAGTACGACCTGATCCTGGATGCCGGAGAGCTGGCCACTTTGCTTCCATGAGCGGTTCTTTGGGACAGACGCGATGCCGCAATTCTGGCCTTCCGGTCCTACACCGCAAAGCCCCTTTCCCTGGACCGTATATAGGCCAAAATGATGATAATTGCCTGGTGGTCTTGTCTTGTGACTTCTGGCGCTTGGTTGTGTCGTTGGAATAAAGATAGGGCCGGGTAGGGTTTCCTTGAGGGAGTGCCGTCGCAGCCGAGAAACTATAAGCGCCTTATAGATCGACTAAGGAGCTTAAGCCATCCAAGCCCAACAAATCCCCAAAAACCCAAGACCTAAGGGCTTGGAGCTCCAAAAAAGGCCGTTAGGTGCGTCGGGGGTGCTGTCTTTCCCGAAGGTACTTTCGGACCTTTTGGACTGAGCCATCTGAAACGATTTCTCTCCGTTTGGTTCCTGATGAAGAATACCGAGATCTTGTTCGCGATGTTAACATGTTTCGGAACTTGTCGGGATTTGCATTCACAGGGGTTTCTTCAACAGGCACCTGAGCTTCACTCAAACATCAGGTTGCCAACGGATTTGTCATGCAGATGTCCGCATATCGCTGGGACGCCCTTGGCTGCGTCGAGGTCGGACCACGCACTGAAACTGGGAACGAGAAACCCCGAATCCCTGGAATCCTGACCCCATAATTAGGCCCTAGACCTTGAAGCCAAAGCCCTTGAAGTTTGAAGTCCTCTGACCTAGAGCCCTTTAATTCAATTATATGGAGACGAACATTCACTGTAGCGTCGGATGGCCAAATGGTGGTACGTGGATATCTACGCACAAGCTACTAAGCTCGGGGTTTGGTATGTGTGCTTTAGGATTCAGAGTTCAGGGGTGCTAGCTGAGAGTTGCTACAACGGTTCCTGGGTTGTCGCCGAAAGCCTGCAGAGCACCTGAGGCTCCAAAGGATGCCCCCCACCGACATGATTTGCTTTTCTCACCTCCTCGATCCAAGTCCGCGGGGCTGGAGCACTAAGCCTAAAGTCTTTCCCGAAGTCCTCAACTCGTCCTACGTACTCCAAAGGTCTTCACCTTAACCCCCTTGCCGACAAGGCCCTGCTGCGACTTCTTGGCAGCACTCTTGCGTCCCTTTGCCCCGGCGGCAGCATGACCGCCATAGTGTCGGCAGAGCCAAGCGACTACCTGGCTGCTTGATTGCAGAGTCCGAGATTTGCTCCGGAGGAAAGTGGCTGTAGAGATGACATCCTAACCCGTCAGCATTTTATATCTTCAAGGTCCAGTCCTTTGCATTCCAGCCCGACATGTCTTTATCCCTGGTTTTAGAGTCTAAAACAATCTAAAAAACTGTGGGAAGAGGGGCCAGGCTCATCCAAAACCGATTCCGTATTGGCCTGCGACCCAGTCACACTGGCATCCAGGGTCGAGAGGCACGAAACCGGGACCAGCCCACAAGCTCCCGGAACTTTACAGAGTATGTTCCTAACTTACAGAGCACGGCATGCAAGGGTTCTCTACAGCCATAGAATGGCTGCAGTCCTCGAGATCTAGTGGTCTCTCCCCCCCGGCAACGGTCCCCAACATGATAACCTCGACCCCCGCAAAGCCCTAAGTCTAGGTTCTAGGCCTTCCCATGAAGATCGAGGTCAACTTTTTCCGGGCATTTGAAGTGGACGTTCGCCTCCTTGGCAGGTCAGCTGTTCTGCCGGTTCTATTGTGGAGGTTGACAATCCGGAAATACAGACGGCTTACTACTCGTACAGTTTCGGAACTATATGTAAACATTCACCATCAAGGGTTGCGGTCGAAGGCTCTGGGGTGACACATGTTGGAGATTGAGGTGGGGCAGACGACCTACCTTTGATGAAAGTTGATGCTCGTATGCAATCTAATGTGGTACATATAATATCATGGAACTCGTCGTGTTCATCATAGATCACTGTATGGGCTCCATTCCATACCCGCCTCTGTCCCACTTGAAGTATGGGGTATCTATCTGCCGAAAGAACGGTCCTGAAATCACTGCACGGCCAGCTCGTCACGTCCGGTGATCATCGCGACGGATCCTTGGGTCGCACGTGTGATCAAGGTTTTAGAGATAGGCATTCAGTGTGAAACAAGAGGCTTAACGACGACGAAGGCAGAGGAGGGGCAAGAAGACAAGATTCCGAGTGCAAGGCGCATGAAGGCTTTAACTTGGAGAGCGGCCACGAACGGTGTTTCAGCTGAGCTGGAGGAGCATGCCACAAGCTGGATTCCAGCTCTAGTCTTGCAGATCAAAAAGCATAGAGCCTGCCAGAATTGACTCATGGCTTGGTCAGGATGTGCGGTTTGTTTTGCCTGGAAAGCACGAACATTTACAAAGGACCCGCAACAAACCCTGCATGCAGATCTATCGCAAGCCGCAATATCATACTCCGTTGGAGTAGAAACGAGATCAGATAACCTGGAAGGCAACCCAAAGTCTGTGGCACCACTGCAATGCACTGCAATGTGTGCTGGTCTAGACGCCTACTGCCCTGGGTACCATGTTCATCCATCTTTTGGAACAAGCCCCCATGTCGACAGATGATGCGAGTGACTATCTGGGGGATTTGAAGGGTTCTAAGCTTTTGTCTTATCCTGTTTTCCGAACAAGCTCGAGGCTGCAAGCCTGCAAGGATTCAATCATATTCGTAAGAAAACCAAACCCCGGGCCTGCTTCTAGATGTGAACCATTCCGCTACACGACCTGCTAGTGAAGGGACTGACTGTCACGTCTATACAATATCAGTCCACGTGCTGGGGCTCGTTGCTGGGCGATTGTCGATGCTAAGGCCAAAGAAGCCATCACGACAGAGCAGATTGAGTCGGTCGTACGACGTGAGGCCCGTGCATGCTCACCCTGCACCGGATTGGAATGCAATTTCCGAAAACACTCAACCGCCACGAAGCGGAAGTGCAATCTAGTTCCAAAAACACAATCAAATCTGGTTTTGATGGTGTCTCTATGCATTTCTCTCGTAAACAGCTGTTAAATCATGAGTTTACTGACTGGCTGCATACCGGTAGAATCTGCTTAGAGGCATGTGCCTGTTCGCTAGAGGGATGCCACATCGAATCATGATGTACTTGCGTAATCCGGCGTCTATCTCTTGGTAACCACAGATTTGTGCCAGCTCGCTAGCGGGATGCCACATTAAATCATGGTTTAATTGCGTAATTTGGCGTCCTTCTCTTGGTAACCACCGGTAAGGAAGTTGGTTCCTATCACGTTCGGAGGAAAGCTGGCCTAAATAAGTAATTTGCCGCAATGAGCGGTCGCACGTTTATTGGGCTTAGGGATTGCAAGCTGCGAACCTTCCGTGTGGATCTTCTTAGAACTAGGTTATGCTGTTCGTCTCGCTGCATACCAGTAGATTCTGCTTAGAGACTTGTGCCATTTCGCTAGCGGGATGCCACATTAAATCATGGTTTAGTTGCGTAATTTGGCGCCAGTAATGTAGTTGGTTCCTATCACGTTCGAAGGAAAGCTGGCCTAAATAAGTAGATGGCCACAATGAGCGGTCGCAGGTTTATTGGGCTTAGGGATTGCAAGCTCCGAACCTTGCGTGTGGATCTTCTTAGAACTAGGTTGTGCTGTTCGTCTCGCTGCGTGCCAGTTCGCTAGCGGGATACCACCTTAAATCATGATTGGGTTGCGTCATTCGGCGTCCTTCTCTTGGTAACCACGGGTTTCCGATATGCAAATTCAACGGCTGGGTGCGTGGTAGAATAATGAAATAGTAAATAGCAAACAATAAAGCAGTAAATAGTGAAATAGTATAACAGTACAGTAGTACGAAACAGAAGAAGAGCACGGTTGTGAAATAGTAAAGTAGTACAATCCTGGCTCAAGCAGCACAGGTCGGTTTTCGAGATGCTAACGGCTGGGGGCGTGGTAGAATAGTAAAATAATATAATCCTCGCTTAACCCTCGCAGGTCGGTTTCCGAGATGCAAAACGTACTGGCTCAACCGGCACATGTCGGTTTTCGAGATGCAAACTGTTTGGTGCCATGTATCTCGTGCGCGAACTTTGCATCTCGGAAACCCAACCTTGCATGTCGAACGCCACACTCACAAGCGTCACAAACATGCGAACCTTGCATCTCACTGTAAACCTTGATCCTGAAACAAGGGTCTTGGGAAGCAATTCAACAATGATTTAATCGTTGCGTTCTTGCCAACTGTTCGAAAACAATTATGCTCCGATTTAGTTGTTTCAAGTTTGGTCATTGATTCAGAACCATTAAATCTTGATTTAATTGTCGTCCCGGGTTCGGCTAGTGTAGGAATAGCATTAGATCATGATTTCATTGTGCCGTGCAGGGAGCAGGACAGGCGCGGAATAGAGCGTCGCGCAATGTTCAGGGGACAATGAAATCATAATGAAATCATAAGTAAATTGTGTGTGCCTGAGGGGTCCAAGGTGGGTCAAAACTGAAGGATTAGATCGACTTTCAATTTTGTTTATTTTCTGGATTCACTTGCTTCCTGCATGGGCGGTCTGATGCAAATTGGGGCCGGGGGGCCTTTCCAAAGCAGTTGGATACCGAACATGCGCAAAGGCCACAAGAAGGTCAGGGCGGCTGAGGTGTCGATCCGTTCGGGGTTGATCTACCATCACTCCCTCGACTGCGCTCATGGTTTCCCAAAGCCTGAGTCGCTTAAACCTGAAGAAGCCCCGACAACCGACGACCGGCAGGTAGCCGAGGAGCGATCGCACGGCCGTTATGCCGGCATTCTTCGGGCTGCCCTTGCAGGTTCGACAAGCAACGGTTCACGGATTGGCTTGGCTTGAGTGCTTTAGGCTTTACAGGGGTTTAGGGGTTTTCGATTTAGACTGAATTGGACTCGCCACCAGCCCTAAACCCTGAGATTTTGGCCGGATCTTTTCAGAGCTTCCGGGTAAAAGCCGAAGGGTTTCCAATCTAAACTGTCCCATATGAATAAACCAGATCACACAAGACAGGACAACAAGAATGCAACCGACGTCATTGGGCGGGGGGTGGTTCGGGGTCTAGAATGCCCTCTTCGAACAACATCTCGAGTCTCATGTTTTTACAACTGCAGATATAATTTGTGTTTCCAGATCTGCGGTTTCCGCAACAGAAATGATCAAAAGGAGCCGAATACAGTCGAGCTCGCAGTCACCCTTGAAAGCCGACCGCCAGGTCTTCATACAGTATTCAAGAAGTGAAATGGGCCTAAACCAGCAAGCCCTCAAGATGCGCGTGTTATTGTTTCCCTCGGACCCAGGGCCAATTTAGTGCAATAGACTCACAACAGACCTTTGGTGGGAAAGTAGGCCAACCTTTTGGATCACAGTCAGGTCGCAAGCAGCTGGAACGTCCTCGGCAGGGTAGTATGTTCCGGTTTTTCTGTCCTTTCTGCCTGCAGGCCATATTACAACGACAATCCGGAACATCGTAGTCCTCAACCGGAATCCTCAAAGATTTCAAGCTTTCCATTGATGTTAGAAGATCGGCCGTGTGCGTTGCAGGAGGGCGCCCTTTGCGCCTGCTGGATGTCACTTAGCCAGAAGCACGTGTGGTTCCGAAAGGGACAATTGGCAGAGCTGAATCTAAACCAAGTAGGCATTATTTCAGCAGCTAGGCTACAAACATTGCTTCTAAGAAGAATAGGGGCCAACCCGACAGCCCCGAACTCCGTACGACGGCGACGTGTACTCATACTTCTTTTCAGGGCTCTGCACCAAACTTGGCTTCAGCACGCAGCCAGAGCTTAAACCCTCGAAGCCAAGACTCATATAAACCCAAAACCCAAGATCCTGAAATCCTGAAGCCCTTCGATTACACCCTTGCCACACAACCGCTGGACTGGCAGATCAAAAGCCTTCACCTTGAGGTTGGTGGTGGGGATGGGCACATGGCGGAGTGGTGGTGCCGGGCCGAGATTCTTATAATTCCGTGTTGTGCCTTTCAAAGAGGGTACTCTTCAAACGAAAAAACTGGTTATCGAGAACCGCAGAAACCTGACGTTTTCCCTCCACGGATGCGCGGGGATTCTTCGTCAGTTTTCTGTGAATTCCGGATGCCATCTTTGATTTCCGTGTCGTGCCTTTCGAAGAGGGTGCTCTTTGCATGCTCATGGGGCAGACCCGAAAAGTGAGAAAAACTCAGGTTTTGTTGGGTTTTTGTTCTGTTGGGTGTTTGTCAGGTTTCGTTGTTTTTTTGTCAGGTTTGTTGGGTTTTTGTCAGGTTTAGGTGGGTTCTTGTCAGGTTTTGGTGCAGTTCTTTTTTTGTCGTCAAACTCGTGAGTGCGACTTTCGCGAAGAGAAATGGCCTTCAATGATGGCGATGATGTGTGTGTTTAGCCAACGCTTTCGTTAGGTTTTGTTGGGGTTTTGTTAGGTTTGGTTAGTTTTTTGTCAGGCTTTGTTGGAGTTTTGTCAGGTTTTGGTGGGTTCTTGGTTGTCAACCACAACACTTGAAGCAACACCAAACAAAGAACACAGCGACGCAAGTCCCTGAGAGATTGCAGATTGCGGCAGGATGGAGTTGTTCTTGTTTTTTTTGGTGTTCGTGTGTGTGTGTGTGTGTGTGTGTGTGTGCGTGTGCGTGTGCGTGCGCGCGCGTGTGTTTCAGTGCTCTGCGGGGATTTGTCAGTTGTTCGTATAGCGTTGACTGGATGACGCGGGGGTGGGGTTGCCCTTGGGGCCTTGGGGGCATCATAGACTTCGAGCCTCGGCCATGGCGAAGGCTCAATTGACCCAGAGCCTGCTCAAACTGCAAGCACTGATGCTCTTGGTCATAACTCAGCTTCGTCCCACAATCCAGAGCTTCTCGAAGCACGTGCAGCACGTCGCTGCAGGTTTTTGTGCCTCCCAAATTCTGGAGGCCCTGGAGGCCATCAAAATTGAAGACCCCCAACCTTCAATCCTAGAAAACCACTAGCCCGAAATCCTTAAATAGGGACCTGTACACCGAAGTCGCCATTGATTGTGTAACTTCTGAAAAAGCTCTTGAAGGAAGTCATCCCGTCCTACCTGCAATGGCTTGAAGCACCTTTCGTTCCTTGTCCGTCATACCGCAAGACCCAAGTCAGCAGATCAGAACTTTTGCTGAGTCTGAATGGACAGGAGGTGCTTGTCTTGTCCTCCATCAGGCATGTACGGAGTAAGGAGTCTATCTGCAAGGGGCCTAAGCTCCAGACCCCTTGCATCCAAATCTGCAGCAGACACCCGAGCTTTCTTGAGCTGAGCGTGCACACCTGCTTTCTGACAGACACAGCCGCAGCAGGTCGGATATGGGCTGCGATGTGCATCTCCTTGAGGTCCTCCGCAGAGTAGCGGTTAAAGCACTGTTTCCAACCGGTTTAGGCGCTTCTTTTCCCTTGAGCGTGAGCTGTCACACGCACGTCAAGGTCTTTTTCAGGGCTTTGGTGGGTCTTTTCGTGCTCATGACAAGGTTTAATTACCAAAGTTCGACGACCATTTTTGGAGCCTTATGCGGATTGCTTTCGCCTCAGATGAGTGAGTTTTACAACTCTCGGAGGGAGAATTTGGCCCGTTTCGTCCCATGGCCCGGCCGAGCAGATCTTTGTTGTGCAACCCCCGCTCTTGCCCCCGGAATCTCTGTCACGATCATTAACAACCATTAGTTCTACTACTGCCGCTTTTTGCTGTTATTGCTGCGTTATATACTGCTCACATTATGTCTATTATTTCCATAGCCCCAGCTCCGCCTCTGTGAGCAACAGGTTGATGCCGATTGTGCAGCAGCCGCCACCGCACGACTCGGCCAGGCGGTTTTGGGCGCAGGGTGGAGTTTGGAGGGGCAACTTAGGTGCCCGTACAATACGTCTCCCGGCCCACAAACCCTTTACATGTTGTTCACGCGCTTCCGAACGCTCTTCCGAACGCTCGAGCCTACATATATCATTGCGGTAACATAACTGCTCGGAAGAGGAGCGTGTGGCGCTCCACGACGGCGTGTCTGCTTGGCCATATCCAGATAGCACCTGGGATGCGATCAGCTGCTGAATGCACAGAATGTGGTAGCAACACCAAGCCCGGTAGCAAGCATGGCATTGATTGCGACTACAAATCGAAAAGATTCCGCTCAAGCTGGCCGTCGGTAAAGTCGCGTGGTCGTCGTCGGCGTGGTGTACTTGTCCGCGACCTCGTCCCTGCTTGTGGGACTGCTCGTGATGATAGTCTCAATAGTGGCTGGGGTGCCCATTAGAGCAGTTAGCTTCTGGCAGGGGCAGGGAGCGTTTGGCTGCGTATCCTTTCATTCAGTTGAAGGTTGCTCTAGACCAGTGGTATTACCTCCGGCTTTCAGCAGCGATGTATGCCGCCAGCTTAGCCTCTTGGATCGGGACTGGCATCCGCTCGGATCCGCGCAAGTGCCTTCCGGAAATACCTTTACGGCCTCCCTTAGAGGCAGTCGCTGCGTTTCCTTGCAATGTGCGAAAGCGTTGAGGGCTTACCATGCGTTTGCGGCGGGCTTTAGTGTTTCGGGCTTTGGCCGTAATTAAGATACACGGCAGTTTGCTTCTTGCCCCAGGTTCTTTCGATGTTTGCCTGCTGCTTTTCGTCCTGCACCACATCGGTGAGGCTGCGAGGGCTTAGTGTCAAAAGGGCTTTGTTGCGGACAAGGGCTTAGTGTCGATCCAAGCCATAGTCGGACTTTGGCATTTTGGAGTGCTGCTGCCAAAGAGAAAAAAGTAGCGCAGGTGAGGCTGAGAGAGGTTTCCCGGTTTGGGAAACCTTCAACTTTTGTCTATGTGTTTCACAAGTGCATCTCCCCCCCCCCCCCCCCCGCACCGTCCTAAAGCCTTTCATCAGCTAATCTCACAACCAAAGTCTCCGGCGTTCTGAAATTGAGGGCCAGGTTTTGGGGTAGTGGTGGCACTGCCTCACACAGTGACTCTCGCCCTGAAGTACCCACAAGTCCGTGCTTTTCAATCATCAGCATGGGACCCTCAGTTGCTGAATGCCCAAAACTGAAGCCTTGGCAGTATCCAAACGACGAGTCTTTTTCGTTGAGCACCACGAGTCTTTTTCGTTGGGCATCGTGCTTTGATTCGGCGATAGCTTATCAGCCTTTCGGATTTGTGGATGGCATCCAGCTTCCAGAGCACAGTGACGCCCGAGGCGACAAACCCAAACTAAGCTGCAGATCCCCCCCCCACCACCGCGGCGAATCAGCCCATAACCCTGAACCCCAAACCCACAAGACCCATTCAAGAGGGCATCCTCGGCCTCGACCTTAACCTGACCCTCCGCGATGTCTTAAACTCCGAAGGAAAAAGCATTGGAACACACTCTTGCAGAAGCAGCCCGGGTGAGTCGTCGAGCATCTTGGAAGGTTTATAAAAGTTTAGCATCTTAGGGCTCCAGGTGTTCGGGTGTAGGGCTTGACTCCTTCCTTCAGTTCGCCACTTCCAGTTCGACCGGGTCCAAAGGGGCGCTGGCCGCCGTGTCACCCCAAATCCTTCTGACCTCATGGACACCCTCGCGGATGCTTGAAGTTTGCACGGGCCCAACGTGTGCGAGACAAAGCCCAAACATTAAGACCAAAACCATGGTGTGCATCTATACCTGTACCCGACTCCCTGCCAACAGAAGCGAAAGACCTTAATACATACTTGATTAAGCAAAATACTTACCTGTACATGACGTATTTGGTCTACATAGATAGTTTAGAAACACTCACCTGAGCAACTTCCGAAGATCTAGTTGACGCATATAGTCATGCAACGCAGTGGTTCGCGTCCTGTGGGATTAACTCTTCAACTGGTTGATGTAACTACATACCGGGAAATGACTGGGCACATGAACTAAGGAATGAATGCAATGGAACGACCATGCATATGAAATGAGATGAAGTGAAACGAAATGAGATGAACATCAGTTTGTTTCATTGTTTCCCTCATTGCTTGGATCGAGTGTTACTTGGCTGACCACCTCTGACTGATAATGACAGGAAATGCGAGAACATATTTAGATATTAGTATAATGCCCTGAACTCCAAAAATGCAGCAACACAGAACAGAAGGTCTTCGTCCTCGAAGACCAGCCTCGGCATTCAGCGTCCGCTGGGCTTGGGCGGCTTGCAGTGGCTGCATCTCGGGCACGGTCACTGTCTTCCTTTATGTGTCAACGAGTACAGGGTTTAGGGTTCAGGGATGCCTGGGGAGAAAGGTGGTGTTAGGTTTTCGCTCTCAGCACGAGTTGCTGAGACGGGCCAATCCTCACAATCGAAAGTGGTTGCTACACTTTCATGTCAGACTAAGTGTGCTCAGGGACTGCATCGTTGCATGTGCTGTGCTTGTTGTAGCTTTTGGCCTGTAGCTTTGGGTGGCCCATCGTTTCTGAACGAAGTCTGACTCACTATGGGCTGCCTGGTTGCGCTTTCGCTTGGGATAACGTTAGGACGGTTCGGGAAGTCCTCAAAAGCCCAGGTGCTCTCCCTGTGCTGGTAGGTGCCTGGTTTTGAAGGGAAAGCGGAGGGTAGCCCGTTATTATGACCGAAAGCGAGCCGAAGGCTCCTCCGAAAGCTTGGCCCTTGACAGCCCTGAGGTCACTGCAGAACATTTCCGCCCCTTCGGCCAAGACCCTGCGCAGCAACTTGATTGTGATATTTGTTGGAAAGGGGGGGGTTACGTAGATTCAAAGTGGATCTTGTGTGGCAGCGGTTTGTGCAGCACGACTAGCCTAGCAACAAGAATCAAGGTGTTTTGGTACAGCGACTTCCCGGAGCCATCGTTTAGAATTAAGGCTATGGTGGTTAAATTGGGGAACAGTTGACGGTATGGCTCGACTTCGAGCACTTCCTGCACCGTAACACCCCCTGAAGGTATATTCGCAACATTCGCCCGGACGGCACCTGGCGCATGCTGTTCCAAGAGGCAGGCCTCCAGCTGCAGCGCGCAGCAGGGAGACCCAGATGCCGCGTTAAGGCTTTAGGGCTTGGGGCTTTGGGACTGAGGGGATTGAGCACTGCTACGTGTTCCTGTTCTTGCGGTTCCGTCGTCTGGGGACTGCGGCTTCGGATTTGTCCTTCAGGCACAGATCTCCCGCATATGATGTGCGTGCCTTGAAGGAAACGTATTTGCGATAGATAGCAACTCGAAACACTTGATAGTCTCGCACTGGGAGTGGGCAGTGCCGCAGAAGTTTGGCAATTGAGTTCAGTCTAAGACCCAGGCGACACAGGGGAGTTCTTGAGCTGGCGAGGCACATATATCAAGGCATCAGGATTCGCAATACAGGTTCAACTGGTGGTTTATGATGGTCAAGAGTTTGGGGTGGAGGCCGTAGGATCGAACGGCCAAGCGATCAGCGAGGCAAGAATGTCATGCAGGAGCTTCGGGAATACGCGCCAAAAATAGGTTCACGGTTCGCACTATCGCGGCCATCACTAATCTGTTGAGAGCCCCAGACCCTTGTCGAACAGCTTTCGGACTAGAGTTTTGGGGGTCTGGCTTGAAAGGGTTCGGAAACCTGTCAGGACCTTATGAGAAGTGATGGGTTTTCCAGTTGCGGCTTGCGGTTGGTGTAAGCTTGTGGGGGGGGGGGGGGGCNNACTGAACTATTGTAGTGGCCAGGCCGGATCAAATGAAGGTAGGGGGGACAAGGGGCGATGAAGTCGATCTGACTGTAGAGCCGACCCAAGGACCACCCATCTGTCGTCGTGTGAAGAAACGTTGAAATGCACGCCCCAGGTGGAGATTCCAGGAACCCTTCAGCATCCCGTGCCACATACATTCTACGAGCTGTGCGTAGAAAAATGCTCCGATCCAGGGATCTGGAGAGCCAGGCTTTGTGGCTGATAGGCTTACATAAGGTCTGGGGTCTAAGACGAGGTATTTAGGGATTGTACACCGATTTGGGTGCAAGGCTCGGCCGGGGGAGTCGGGCTTAAGTCTTGCGATGGGATGGATCTAGGTGTGCTGAGCCCCAGCAACATGACTGTATCCAGTAGAAGCTTGTAGATGATACTTTACCCGGGTGCAGCCAGATGCGCATGCATACATCGAGGGATTGGCAGTTTGGGGTTGTTGACTTTGGCGTTTTGGATTCGAGTTTGATGGGGGACATAGCGAGCCTGGAGCCGCAAGCGCAAGCCCTCGGCTTCAACGCTGGAAACCGGCGTTGCAATAAAGATGCGATCTGACAACGCAGGAGCAGAGCCATTGATCCCATCTATACGGACCTTTGCGCCCTTACGTCCCCAATTCGCCATACTTGAGCAGATCCGAAGTCCAAACCCCCAGCACGGAGAGCCTCTAGGCCTACACCCTGTTGTGCAGCCTTCATCAACCAACTCGATGGTTGCCTCTTTGTGGCCCGCTGTGCAATATCGCGTGTTCCGGCAGCATCCGGCACTTTGCGGCGGTGAGGCAGCAGCGGGTTGCGCGCTACAGGTGCCAAGAACTGCAGACGACTCTGGACGTGTTCGCGTCCAGCCGTCCGAGGAAGAACATGCGCTGGAACTTGTCGTTGATGAGACCTTCGGCTTGACCAAAAGGCCTCAAAGAAAGACTTCTTTGTTTTGCTTGATAAGTTTTGCTTTATCAAATTATCGGTGTGCAGAACTTCGTCTTGGCTTAGAATCTCTCGCCGCAGTCTCCACAGCTAGAAATTCCGACCCAGCCCAGCCTTGGGTGTTGGCTTCTTAGACAAAGGCGTGCTCAAAGTGTTCTCTAACACTCTTTCGGGAATTCGTGCTGTTTCTCATTGTACCCGCGAATCCCTAAATGCAGCGTGTGGGAGCATCAGTTCTGGAGCCAACAGATCGTAGCGACAAACTAATGCCTGAATGTATGTGGGCACAGGTGCTCACACATGAAAACCGCAAGCGTGGGAAGCCTAAAGCAGCTGTTTCTAACGCTGTTTCCAGCGGCGAAGTATATGAAGCTCAGGGCTGGAGTTTTTTTTTAATGAAGGTGCCAACAGTAATTCGCAGTGTGCTTGCCGCAATCTGGAGAAAATCTCAACGATGTCGGCTTCAGGATTCGAGTGGAGAGAGCAATGAGAGCAAAGGCCATGCCTTGAACTCCAAGCCATTTGGTAGTTAAGTTTAAGTTTAGAAGTCGCCCAAACCCCCTGGATGCTTGTACAGCAGTCGACAGACCCGAACCCTGAGCAAGGACTCAAGGAAGCCCTTTTCCTATCTTGTTTACCTGCGGGGGTTGGGGCTGCAGAGTCTTTTCAGTAAGTCGCAGGCTAACAAGGCTGAAATCCTGGATCTAAGGACATTCGCATCGATCTACAGGCATGCGATTTGCGTGGGAGCGGAGGTACAGTAGAGCGTTTGCGGTTTGGGGTCGAACGGTTTGGGGCTCAGGGAACAGATAGACCCAATCCTACACGATGAGGATCAGCTGAGTGTTGGCCAGGCTCCAGCCTCAACGTCAAGATCCGCGACGGTTTCGGCTTTTCAAAGGATTCTGAATTTGATTCCGAGGTGGATTCAGTCGAAGCTTATAGTATGGATGTTGGAGTTTGGGCTTGAGGTATCGGCATTGCATCGGTGTGTAGCAGAGGCTTGAGAGCCTAAGAACCCCGACATTATCACACCATATGTGTGTTTAAGGTTTGTGGTGCTCTCGAACAGGCAAACTTGCAAGTCATGCAGGCAACATCGTTTCCTTATACAGAGATCCGAACCCGAAACTCGAGCGCCACACCCAAAAGTCCAAGGCCCAAGCCTTGCCTGCAGGCCCGGTCAGGCCGCGAGCGCTGGTATTTGGGAGCCCTGGCCTAGGATTATGGGCATCAGGGGTTGAGCTTGCAGAAGCAATTTCTTGAGAACTCTTTTCTTGAAGCGTTTCGAATATGTTGTCGAAAATTCAGACATCCAAGACGTTCGATCCTACTCCGTCTCGACAAGTCTATTGGGTGGGGCTCTTGGCCCTTGGGGCGTTGTGGCCGTAAAGGCGCAGAATGAAATTGAAGATAGTGTGTTTGCATTCGGGCGTTAGGGATTTAGGAGTGAAAGTCGAACAAAGATTTGGGTTTGAGGGTCCGCAGAGGTGTAGCAGCATTAGGCATAACCGCAAAGAATCAGATGTGTTTTGGAATCTGATGTTGGTGAGTCGGGGTGTTTCGAGCTTGCAGTTTGAGCATGCATTAGTCCGTGCGCCTTGATGTATTGAGGGGCGCCATTCAAGCAATGTTGCGAGGGTCGTCATCCCCTCACTATCGCCGTCGTCATCAGCAGCAGCATCACCGTCATCGTCATCATCATCATCATCATCATCATCATCCTCGTCATGATCATCCTCCTCATCATCCTCATCATCCTCACCACCACCACCACCACCACCACCACCACCACCACCACCACCACATCCTCCTCATCATCCTCATCATCCTCACCACCACCACCACCACCATCACCATCATCGCCACCACCATCGTCACCGTCACCACCACCATCACCACCACCAGCACCATCATCATCATCGCCACCTTCATCACCATCTTCTTCTTCCCCATTACCATCACCATCATCATCATCACCACCATCATCATCACCACCATCATCATCATCATCATCCATCATCATCACCATCCATCATCATCATCATCATCATCACCATCATCGTTATACTTATGATACCTTTGCTCTCGCCGCCTGCCTTAACGAACACCGTGCAGACACGTGCCATGGTGCAGCTCGTATTATGCTTGTCAGGTTTCTGCACAGCTGGGGGCACCGGGCGGCAGCACTCAAACTATCTCGTGCCAAAACTCCACGAAAGGATGTGCTGGCAGCACCTGTGCTACTTCTGCCTCAACAGCCGTGACTGAGATGCACCATCTTCTGGCCGTATCTCTTTGGTTGTGATGTGCAAGCATAATTTGGAACAGCCCTCATATCCAAGAACGACCCTTAGGAAGCCTTAATTTTAATTTAAACTTCAAATATGAAGACGACAAAGACAAAGACCTGAGGAGCTCGATTCTCATCCTTGGCCTCGGTGGTGGCACCGTGGCTCGGGCGCTGAGGGCATTATGCCCAGAGGCTCGAAGGGGTTGAAAGGGGTTGAGTTCATGATTTCGGCTTAGGAGTTTTTATGGGGTAGAGGGTTTCGGTATGGGGTGGAATCCGCAGTGCTGCTTGGGTTGTGTGCTTGCGTGTCAAGTTCGGCGGGGTCGATGGAGGTGTGGTGGGAAAACAGAGATGACGCTGATGTGCTGTATTCTCAGACTGAAGTTCACGAGCATTTATTGGACCTCTGACCCACCCATTGAGATTCTCGGCTATGGACTTTATTGACTCGTTGACATGAAGCTTTTTTCATTGAAGCCCTGGCGCAGCTGTTTAGTCGGTAGGAGCTCCTGTCAGGTCTAAGTCTGAAGCACTTCGGCGCAATTCGACACCCTGACAACCAAATCCCACGCGTTGACTCATCAACCATCAGCCCGAAACCACGCCGAAGCCCCTTGAGCCCTACTTCTGCTTCAGGCCAGTATTGTGGGGGTGGAGATGGACGATGAGGCGGGTCTCCAAATCCTCACTTCGTTTGTTTCGCCTCCGGCGTGTACGTAGGTGTGTGTGTGTGTGTGTGTGCGCGTGAAGGTTGTGCCGGTGTGCGTGATGAATACCCCAACGCACTGCAATGGAAGAACAGTCCCCGAGTAATGGCTTGGCCTAGGTTCCTGCATCGCTTTGTTTGAAGATCGTTCGAACATGCACAGATGAGTCTCCTCATGCAGGTCTTTGGTCCTTGAGGTTTTGGGGCTGCGGATTTGGTCCGGTGACTTGGGGCCTATAGGCTTCTTTAGGCTTCTTTGTCTGCACTACAGGTTGGCCAAATGCCGAACTTGGCAGACTGCACGGGAGGGACAAGCAACAAAACCCGAAATCCAAACTCAAGTTCAAGATCCCTTCGCGATTTTCATGGCATTCTTAGCACGCAAATGACCTGAAGAAGGCCCGTGACTGCGCCCCCTACGTGGACTTCACAGTCAAAACCCTATAAATTATAAACCCTATAATGCTGATGATCCATGAGTTGAACCCTTGCAGAGGTACTGGATGCAGCCCGACGTCACTTTGGCCTTGACGACTTGGGAGTGGACGTGCGGCGGTGTGATGCTCTTTGGCCTGGTACGGAGGCTTCTGTACCGAAAATGCCGCAGGTGTATGGGTCTGTGAAACGGAAGGTAGAGCAGGCAGGCAAGAAGCTCAATACCTTGATCCACATGAGCAACAGAAGGCTCCAAACCGGAAGTCCAATGAAATGTCCTTTCGAGCCTCCAACCTTTCACATTTCAACTCAGTTCTGCTGAATCAGCTTACAAGCCCGTCGTCCCCGACCCGAATTGGCTTCTCAAGCACCAGACACCGACACCAAAACCTGCAGCACACTAAGGCTTTGGAGGTGCTCCAAAAGGACCGGCCCTACATCTCTAGCGAGTTCATTCAGGGCTTTTTCGGTGGCAGTGAGGCCAGTACTGCTTCCAGTACGGTTTTCTGGGGCGGCAGGAGGAATGCCAGCCGTCATCCTGCTCGCGCGTCTTTGCCATTCCTACCAGCACCACCTCTTCCTATTCTCAATCATTTCGCCGTTTGGCTTGCTGCTATGATTGCTGCTTGCTGCTGCTGCTGCTGTGCTCCCCAGAAATGTGTACTACCACCAGTCATGCAGCCACGACGACGACGACGACGACGACGACGACCGCTGCACTGCTACTGCTACTGCTGCTTACTGCTGCTGCTGCTGCTGCTGCTGCTGCTGCTGCTGCTGCTGCTACTACTAGAATCATATTGTCCATCCCCTGAGCCAGCTTGAAAGTCTGACTCTTTCCGCACATTGGCAGTGTTCGCAGGACAAGCAGCAGTTTGATGTCGTTATCGACGACATTTTTGTCGGGTATGCACGGAGTGTGCACAAACCAAGCAGCTAGACATGCACTTGGTGCATATATTGATGATCTCGTCTGTGTTATATGGCCCAGGGCAACAGAGGAGTAGTGGTGAACAAATTTCATTTGCTCCAAAGTGTGGCGCAGAGCCCAAGTTCAGCGCTGGGAGGGCCGGGGCATGGCTTTTGCGGCCCCGTGTCAGGTTATTGATCCATGTCATCTCTGCTGATCTTCGTCCTGCACGTAGCTGTGACATGAAGCAGGGCACAGCCGAGACCCGATATGTTGGTGGTTTATGCTCCTTTTACTCCGACCCATCTAAAGCCTCTAAACCTCTCCGAAGAAAGGATGGATGCTGCAGCGTGGCTTGCGTTTGGCTGCGAAGCATGTGCGGCCAGGCCAGTGTGTGCGGGCTGTGATCCCGGAGTCGAATCTTTAGCCTCCAGCATCTTAGAATCTTGACCGTTGAAACATCGATGACTCCTCCCGAAGCGAAGATTCTACGGGATCGATTCCAGGTCCAGGTGTCTTTAGAAGTGGTAGTTAACACCCTTTGCTTTTATGCACCCAACATCCTGCCAAGTAGAGCACGGCACTTCCAGATGTCAGGGCGTGGGGTTTCTGTGTCAGCGCTTGCGCAAGGCGGCTTGCTCATCAGCAACACGCTCGATGAAGCCGCTGCTTTCCAGACCAGACTCCCGGGGACAATTGGCGTTCAGTCCCTAAAGTCGCAAGTCCCTGAGCACCAAGCGCCGATAATTGAAGATCTGCACGTCCTAAACCCATAGCAAGACAAGGAATTAAACCCAAAGTCTACTTGCAGAAAGAGGGAATACTTAATGCTAGCTGTGAATTGTTTATGGGCACTAGCTTGCACCTTACGACCACTTTGGGTGGTAGGTTCTACTCGGTCCCAACCCAAGTCCCTATGATCTTCCGCCTAAAGCCTTGGACATCTTGTTCTGCCGGATCCCTGAAGAAAGCATGGTCCATTCTTTGGAGACGAGGCAGAGAAAAGCTGGGAGCCTAAGCATGCCTGAACCCTATGCCGTATAAATCTTGAGGCATACGCCCATCGAAAAACTGTAAACCCCCAAAGTTCGTAAACCTCCCCACAGCTGGAAGACTAAGGCCGCTAGATCTAGATCACCCCGGGCGATCCCTCATGCCTTCAGTCATATTTTGGATTTCGATTGTTCGGCGTCTAACGGCTTAGATCCCCAAACACTGCGAGCTACGCAGTATTCTGTTTTGCATGATGAGCCCTATTTAAACCAAAATCCCCAGACCCCAGCAGCAACAAGCCCGAACTACTCTGCCGAGTCCTTCGCCGGCATTTTCCACAGCTCATCCATCTTCAAGTCCAAGGCCTGCAAAGGGTCAAGGGCTTTGGAGTCCAGGCGAAAAGGGTCCATGGAGTTTAGGTTTGGGGGTTCAGGTTTTGTAGGGTTCGGCGTGGAAGCGTGAAGAGGTAGGGTCCGGGACGTTGGCTTTTTCGGATGTCTTCAGCTCTCGCAACGAGTAGGTTTTCTGGATGACCGGATTGAGGGTCTAGGACGGAGGCTGTCAGGAGTGGTGGATTTCGGGGTTGCGGTAGTTTCTAGAATATCATGGATGAGAGCCCAGCATTTGGAACAAATGTGTAGGGTCGTGATGGACATTCGTGGTCGATCTCAGTGACACAATCTTGTAACGAGGAATGCAGCTAAACAAAGTCTGCAGACAACTGTCTTGCTAGTTCGTCCGATCCAAAGATGCTTCCAAGTTTGCGGATCATCATCAGAGTTTTCGGGCCTTCCGACACCATAACCGGGTTGTGGGTGTCGCGACGGTCCGATCGCGAGGATTGATATGCAGGACAAGGCTTGAAACGCTGTCTTAACAGTGACCCTGTTGTTCCAAGAACTATAGGGTCCAAGTAGGGCTGTTTCAAGCATATTTTAACAGTTCAAATGTACTTCCCGAGCTCGGCCAGACTACGACAACACGGTCTTTGTGGCGTCATCGCTTCCATTAGATGCAGACCGATTGGCGGCTGGGCCGTGGTGTTCTTGTGTTTCTGTTTGTTTTTCGATTTTGGGTCCGGTAGCTTGGTACTGCAGAAGGAACCATAAGCTGCTGAGCAGGAAGCTCATTCACTGTCATTCTATATTTATTAAAATTTATTGCTAGAAACAGTATTATCGTGGGAGATGACGGTGATGGAAATGATGACGATGATGATGATGACGACGATGATGATGGTGATCGTGAATACTATATGACTATATGATGATGCTGGCGATGACGAAGTGAATGATGATGATGGTGATAATGATGATGATGACGACGATGTTTGGCGTTTGTTTGCTTCAGCTGTAGTCTTTATTTTCATAGTAGCAGTCGTCCTAGTAATCGGGGTGGTGGTAGTAGTAGTGGTGGT